CATTACTCCTCTCCCTCCTGGGGCTTAGAGTGAGATATAAAAGTGCAGCCTTGAATTCACTTTAGCAGATAGAAGGATGTGTTGTTCTGTGGGTATGGGCGTCTCTCATCTGTCTGTCATCTGGTGAGTTCTGAAACCCCGTGTGAGTTAGCTGACGCTCCTGAAGCCTGTTCGAAGAAAGAGTTAGACTGAGAAAAAGGGCAGGGTGAGGTGAAGAGGGAGAGCCTGGGTGGAGGATATCAGAGAGCAGCGTCTTGGTAGACGGGCAGAGCAGGTGGGAAAGTCCCTGGACTCCGAGTTCATGTCCTGGCCCTGCAACTAACTGATTGTGTAACTCTGGGTAATTCACTGCATTTCTCTAGATAGCTCACTTTCCAGGGTAATTTCCTTAGGATCAATGTTTCCATGATTCATTAACACGGTTGCTAGTTCAGGAAGGAATGCAGGACTCAGAGCACAGGAAAGGTTCAGAATTCCAGGAGCAAAGTGGTCACAACCTATTCCATGACTCAGACTAACACCTAAACCAGCACACATGGTCTAACTTTGCTCTTATAAATTCTGAGATAAAATATGTAAAAGTGCCCAGAAGATTAAAAGAGTAGGAGAAATTAGCTCGTCGTAAACTTTAGATGAACTATGGATAGCTAAGCATTTCTAATCTTTTACTATTCATGATGTAGTTTAAAAACTATGGTCATTAGGCCGGCCTCTCTATACTTCCCTCCCACCCCATATCTGCCTTGTTTGTGTCTTCTTTCAGTACTCTTGCAAATCTTCATAAGCATTTTTTACTTGACCAGAAATTAGAAAATAAAATTCCAAAACATCAGAGCATAAAGGATTCTTAAAAATGTCCCTAAAAGCAGTTATAAAGAAGAGGACACTGAGGTTTAGAAAGATAAATAGGGTTTCCCAAGCTCACATAGGCAGAGTATCCCACAGCCAGCGTAGAATCCCAAGACCACTGAAACCCAGACCAGATCCATTCCCCTAAACCACCCTCATCCCTATATGACTTAAGTTAAAGGAA